AATGCTCCCGGATGCATCACGGATTTATGCGAATCGGTTTCCCAATCGAGTGCAACCAACCCCTCGTGCCTTTGTTAATGTAGTGCAAAGGGCTCGTGAATCAGGTGACTTAAGACCTCACAGGTGAGGGCATGCTGCTCCAAGACCGCACGATCAAATACAGGTCCGCACTGAAATACTTGTCGGGAGGATACTTTATTAAACAAGGTAACATTTTTTTTTTTTTTATTTTTACACACATATTTTGGTTTATCTTCCTTCTACAATCATTATCTGAAAATTAATGACTCAACTTCAAAGTCACCCTGTATAGTTTGGGTGCCCAGTACGAGAAACTGCGTGTGAACAATGCTGTCGAATGCCGCGGGATAAGTAAGATGAGTTTATTCCTAGAGGATCTTTGATCGTACTGGCAGAGGAGGCTTAGTTTTGTATAAAGATAATATGGCGCTTTAAGGATAAGGGTCTTATGTACCAGAGATAGGCAAGGCAGTTTCCTCAATTTGTTCATCTTAAACCATCCCGATTGGTGAAAAGCGCTACTAATATGATCAAATTTACGGATTCCATAAGAAAATCTGATGCATGAGTTTTGTATCATCTGAATCCGCTCGGCATCACGTTGTAAAAGAGCAGGTCCATAAACAGAGTCACCGTAAGATAATTTTGACAGGATAAGGGACTAGCAGAGTTTAAGCTTGAGCTGTGTCGACAGGACACTTCGACTCGGGTATAACTGACGAAGCACATTATAGGACGCATTGCATAGTTGGTTAACATGTTTAGTGAAGCGTAGCTTGCAGTCAAACCAGATACCAAGGTTTTTGCATTCGTTTACGAAGGATATGTCTTATTCACTAGTCTTAGTCATTATTCACCATAATATTAATGCGATATTGATTTATTTCACGATTCTTGGGCCCAAATAAAATGCAGCATGATTTGCAAGGATTTAGTTTTAGATTGTGAGCACTAGATATGTCAAAAATAGACTGCAGGTCTTGATTTATTTGATGTTGGCCAAGCATATATTCATCAGGATCGAAGCAGTTATAAAGTTGGGTATCATCGGCGTAATGATGAACGATTGAGTTGCTGGCGGTTTCATGAAAATCACATATATAAAGAGCAAATAAAAGGGGACTCAAAATAGATCCTTGAGGGACACCAAAATTTCTGAATAAAGAAGTTGATATATTGTTTTTTTTTCATATATGACAGACTGTGAGCGATCAGTTAAAAAGCTCTTAATCAGCGTGCAAGCCGATGATGACAGGCCAAAGTATCTAAGCTTTTTACAGAGAATATTTGGGTCAACCGTATCGAAGGCCTTGCTAAAATCAAGAAGAACTAAGCAGGACAGCTTTCCTTGATCAGCCGCGCTATAAATATTATCCGATATAGGCTGTTATCCTATAGGTGGAGAATAACGGACTGTTGTTGGTGAAATTGGCCCTACAAATATAAAAAACACAAACAAATAATTGAAACTTTATATATAAAACACAATATTCTGAAACGGCGCAATAACATTTTTTTATAAGTATCTGCTAAGGTTTTATTTTAAAAAAAAAACTCATACCTTTGGCATTCCTTGTCTGGTGGAAAACTGTTAGAAATTTTTGGCCCTAAATACCTTGGGAACTTCCTGGAAACCTTGTAGAGTTCACATAATTGGTTACATTGTCTTGTATTTAGTCCATGAACCTCTTTATTTTATAAATAGTTTTCTAAGGATGTATTTCACCAAAAGACTAGTAATTTTCAACCAATCATATTAAACAACCCACCGTCAAATTGTAGTGATCAATGGCATTTGGGGCATAAAAAATAATAGCTATCCACCTATGACATGACAGGCTAGCAAGTAGAAACTATAGTTTTATCATTTTGGTTCATAATCTCGAGTCATTTTAGCACTTTTGCCTGTTAAATTTGAAGAAATGTTTCAAATCCTTTTGTTGTTGGAAATATACTAAGTGACATATAAATCCGAACACCCAGTTTAAATGGTTTTATTTTAATAAAATTTTGTATAAGTACTTAATGACGCATAATAAGTAAATGATAAAAATTTCAAAATGATTGCACTGCTAAGTCGGGAGATCTTGGTGGCCATGGTAACAATGTGACATCATTATGTTGAAAGAAGTCTATTGTCACTCTTGCAACATGTGGTCGTGCATTATCTTGTTGGAAAGTTGGATCTGCCAGGGTGTCAAGATAGGGTAAAAGATGGGGTTCTAGAACTTCGTGGATATAAGGCTGCGCGTTCATGTTACCTCTGATGAAGATTAAAGGTAACCTGGAACCATAAGCTATAGTACCCCAAACCATAACTCCAACAGTGTGATGAACATGTCTTTCAACAAAAAACTGTGGATTCCTCCCTTCACCACGTCGCCTTCTAACCCTGGCACGACCATCGTGCATGCCTAAACAAAATCGAGACTCGTCACTAAAGACAATACTGTTCCATTCCTGATCCCAGAGTGACCGTTGTCTGCACCAATCAAGGCGATTACGTCGGTGTTCTCGAGTTAAAGGGAGGACCCAGTGTGGCCGGTATGAAAACAAGCCAAAACTTCCCCTTCGTCGGTAAACACTTCGCATGCCAATAGGTCTTCCGTGTTCTGCAAACCATTCATTTGCAATGGACCTGGTAGTGGAAAAACGGTCCCTTAAGGCCAATAACATTAGGCGGCGATCTTCACGGTCTGTTGTTCTACGGCGGCGTCCAGTGCCCCTTGCTTTTTGCGTACGGCCTTCTCGAAGCCATGCCTGACAACACCTAACCACAGTGTCTACACTTCTTTGCACTCTAACTGCAGTTGCCCGAAAAGAAAGTCCAGCTTCCCGAAGTACCACTATACGGTCCCTATCAAACTCACTAAGTAGACGAAATCGTACAGGTCTCCGTACTCTAGGCATCGTAACCGATCGTAAAGGATGTCAAGAACCAAAATCCGCCAACGTTGATTCTTTACTGCGCCTGAAATATTCATTTTTAGAGCGTTAGTGAATTAAAAAAAGCAGTATAAAAACCGGAATGTCCAACTGATAAGGCTGAAAATTTTTTCACTTGTTATTTACAGTAAGATAAATACATTCACCAACTTTTATTAAAATAAAACCATTTAAACTGGGTGTTCGGATTTATATGTCATTTAGTATATGCAACCTGAGACCAGAGATCTCCTACACATGAGCAGATACCCTATTAAGGATTTTCTTAATAAAACACAATTGTGGTCCACCTCATCTAAAGAATTTCCAAAGGTAGCTTCTTATAAAGTTCTTCACTTCAAAGCCTTCTCAAAGTCGACGAACTTCGAAGGTGCTTCAAGGTGCAGCAATATGAGGGACTCATGCATGCAATTCAACTCCATCAAAGTCTTCCACCAAATTATTAATCTTCAGCTAACAGTAATTACATTGTTCAATCACAAATCTAAAATTGCTGAAATTATGAATTTGTTTTTTTTTCTTTAATAGGGCTATGCGGTAGCACAAAACAATACACTGAAGAAGTTCCGTGCTATCTGTAGGAAATTTTTCGCGATCTCAATACTTCGTCCAATTTTGGCATAGGAATAACCATAGACAAGGAAGACAAATGCATGGTCTATCCCCTTAACTGCGACCCGAGCTTATAAATTCTGCGAGTCTATCGTAACGCTATCACAAGCCTTAAATTCTCCAACATCGAAACGTTCCACGTCCTTTTTTCTATTTCCCTATCCGCAATAAATTGAAAAGGTCGGTAAGGTTATTTTATATACCGGTCTAAATTTCAAATCGATTCACCTTCATACATATTACGATTATACTCCCAATTGGTAGTCTATTTCCGCTGATAATTTAAATATACATCTGGTTCACACAATTCCAAAGACCTTTCCTATGAAACACTGTGAACTTATACAAGGTATTCATCTAAAAACCTCCCAACACGGATTTATCAAAAACCACTGATTAAAAGACGAAACGCCGAGTCATCACATATCACCTATCATCACCTACGAGCCTCTTCCCACTTCAGTTGGCCCAACTATTGAAATCTTAGTTTTTTTCATATCAAACACAAATAATAAAAATGTAGCAGGGTGTTATAGGTTTAAAATATTAACAATGAATGTTTTGATAATATATAGTAGAAAACACCAACTTTATCACTCCCTAAGCAAATTTGCAGCATAAAAATAACACATGTTGCAATTACAGCATATCAACCTATTCTCATTTCGATGCAAAATAAGTCTATAACGCATAGGTGGCTGTGAAAAATAAAAGCCATGACAATTGTTTTTATTAATCACAGCTGTCAGAATAGGTTTAAAATAGTTTTGGGTAGTTAAGGTCTCCAAAATGGGTAGAGGAAAGGTTATTAGTGAGAAAATTCGGTTACTGATAATTAAATTGTTTCATTCTGGGAAATCAAACTCAGAAATTGCAACTCTGTTAGACTTATCGCGGTATAGTGTGAGAAATATTGTTAGAAGATATAACGTAACTGATTCAGTTAATATTAAGCCACGATATGTGAAAAAAAGTAATATCACAAATGCCGATCGAAGAGCATTAAGAAGAACAGGCGTGCCAACTATTTACAATTAAGTGCTCTGTGGAGTGACGCTGGAAGGAGAATTTCGAGGTCCACAACTCATAGAGAGGCCCACAAACTGGGATTCAGCACTTGCAAGGTAAGTTTTCTTATAAAAAAAAGTGAAGTAAAAACCCTAAAGTCGCACAACTTGTTTATTGGCTAAAGAAAAGCCACTATTAACCCCACTGCAAAAGAAAAATCGGCTTAGATGGGCTAAAGAACATAGACAATGGGTACCTCAACAATGGTGTGAGATTTATTCGCAAAAAAATGAAGCATTCCGTGAAGAGAAAAGTGAAATTTCCAGCATCCATTATGGTCTGGGGCAGTATGTCATCAAAAGGAGTAGGTTAAACTTCATTTTATTGATGGAAATGTCAGTCCAGATCTGTCACCTATTGAAACTTTGTGGTACGAGATGAAAAAGGTTCTACGACAACATCCTGCTCGTACAATCACCGAACTGAGACAAAAACTTCAAGAAATATGGAACTGTTTTGCACCAAATTTTTGCCAAAACTTGGTTAACACTATGCCCCAAAGAATTTCAGCCGTAATATAAAATAAAGGTGATGTTACCATTGGTAATCTTTCAATTGTTGCTTGCTTGTTTATTTGTTCAGATGCTCTATTAGTTATAGGTCTTAGTGATTTCAAATATGTATTTTTTGCGACTAGAGTGTATCTAAAATGTTTTTGAGAAAATAAATTGTTTTAGAAGTAAATAGTTTCGTCATGTTTAGTTTATAAAGGCATATTTTGGTACAAATCTTGAAGTGGGCCAACTGAAGTGAGAAGGGGCTCCTATGTCATTGTTTGGCTAATAACGAGCAACATTTTGAATACTTATTGAAACAGAAAGTGATATTTTCGTTTATTTTTTTTTTGCTATCTGAACATATTAAGATAAATAGTTTTCCTATTTTTTCGAAAATGAATTGCCCCTTTTTAAAAAACCAAACGTCAAGATGAAGGACTTCGGAAGACCTTCCAAACAAGCTGTTACTCGAAACCCCTTGTCATTTAAAATCTTCAAAGGGATGACCTTGAGGGGCAGAGTATTATTTGGTTAAGAAAGTTGTTCCCCTTGACAAATATTTTGACATGTCTCGGCATTTTTTCTTTTAATCAGTGGTTTCCGATAAATCCGTGGTGCGAAGTTTTCTAATGAATAATCAAGTGAATAGTGAGATAAAAATGTGCCATTTTTTTATTTAACAAGAAGATTAGGCACATGCTACTAGCAGATCGATCTGGCGTCAAGTTTTACATGATTTTTCAAGTTCCTGTATAATCTACTTTCTTTACAAAGTTAGATGTAAGAATCGCCATTGGCTAAATTTTGCCCCAATAAAGTTGGAATTATTACATTACATGTTACGTAATAAAATATTCATCTAAGAAAGATAAGAGAAAATGGAAATAAAAAAAAATAAACATCACATAAAATACTTACATGACCGAGTGTGCATTAGGCTCAAAGATATACAACACTAGTCTCAATTAGTAAGACTTAGCTTTTATCTGACTAGCCAATCAATATCAGTCTCAGCCTGATGATGCTTTTCTAGTAAAATTCAAGTACGTTACGACGTTTTCAGTGTGATATTGTGAAACCGTCACCTTGAGAATTTCTCGTCAGATCCTGTCGTGTAATTCGGTTTTTGGTCTGAACATAGTACGGAGCTATACGGGTGACATGCCGGAACCATATACGAGCTCCTTCCCACTTCAGTTGGCCCAACTATTGAAACACGAACTTTATCACTCCCTAATCAAATTTGTAGCGTAAAAATAACACATGTTGCAATTACAGCATATCAATCTATTTTCATTTCAATGCAAAATAAGTCTATAACGCATAGGTGGCTGTGAAAAATAAAAGCCATGACAATGGTTTTTATTAATCACAACTGTCAGAATAGGTTTAAAATAGTTTTGGGTAGTTAAGGTTTCCAAAATGGGTAGAGGAAAGGTTATTAGTGAGAAAATTCGGTTACTGATAATTAAATTTTTTGATTCAGTTAATATTAAGCCAGGATATGTGAAAAGAAGTAATATCACAAAATAATAATCGTGAAGAACAGGCGTGCCAATTATTTTCACTTGAGTGCTCTGTGGAGTGACGCTGTTGGAAGGAGAATTTCGAGGTCCACAACTCATAGAGAGGCCCACAAACTGGAATTTAGCACTTGCAAGGTAAGTTTTCTTACAAAAAAGTGAAGTAAAAACCCTAAAGTTGCACAACAAAGAAAAGCCACTATTAACTCCACTGCAAAAGAAAAATCGGCTCAGATGGCCTAAAGAACATAGACAATGGACACCTCAACAATGGTGTGCAATACAATGGAGTGATTAGACCCGATTCGAAGTTTGTGTTGGTAAAAAGTCGCAGTAGAGTTATTCGCAAAAAAATGATTCATTCCATGTTGACTGTCTGAAGAGAAAAGTGAAATTTCCAGCATCCATTATGGTCTGGGGCAGTATGTCATCAAAAGGAGTAGGAAAACTTCATTTTATTGATGGAAATGTGGATACAAACAAATATTTGCCAATTTTAGAAGAATCTCTTTTACCAGTGATAGAAGAATGTTCTACATCCGGCCAAGATTTTGTGTTTCAGCAAAATGGTGCAGCGTGCCATACCTCAAAATAGGCTATAAAATGGATGGAAGGAAATAATGTACCACTTTTGAAATGGTTTTCTAGCAGTCCAGATCTGTCACCTATTGAAACTTTGTGGCACGAGATGGAAAAGGTTCTACGACAACATCCTGGTCCTACAATCACCGAACTGAGACAAAAGCTTCAAGAAATATGGGATTGTTTTACACCAAATTTTTTCCAAAACTTGGTTAACACGAAAAAGAATTTCAGCCGTAATTAAAAATAAAGGTGATGTTACCCAGTGGTAATCTTTCAATTGTTGCTTTGTTAACTTCGCGCATTTATTCGCACATTGTTTATTTGTTCAGATGTTCTATTATTTGTAGGTCTAAGTGATTTCAAATAAGCATTTTTTACGACTAGAGTGTATCTAAAATGTTTTTGAGACAATAAATTGTTTTAGAAGTAAAGAGTTTCGTCATGTTTAGCATATTTTGATACAAATCTTGAAGTGGGCCAGCTGAAGTGGGAAGGGGCTCGAAGAAGCGCTATTAACTATATTCCAAATTACATTTCGACAGCTTTATCCATTACTATGTAAACGTTCAAAATTAAGTTTGATTAACAAGATTCGACTCTATAAGGTGGTCATAAGACCAGCAATGACTTAGGCATGTGCGGCTTGGCGTTTTATTGCTAAAACACACATGCGAAATTTGCAGGTTCTGCAAAGCAGGACGTGGCGCACTATTGCTGACGCCCCATGATACGAGTATGGCTCTAACGAAACTCTACATAGAGACCTCGATGTCCCTTACCTAAAGGACTACATTAAGCAACAGGCGCAGCGGCGCTATAGCCTAGCGCAGCGGTTCCCAAACTTTTTAAGTCGCGGAGCACTTTTGGACAGGAAAATTTAACGCGGAGCACTAGAGTAGGCTGTTTGATGGTTTCAACTGCCTGCAACTGGATATAGGTCTTTGTTCAATTTTAGAAACGTACATTGAAGAAACAAATATTTATTAAACAAAAAGAACAACTAACTCTAGCACAGAAAAAAATGTAATATTTATTAAATATACCTAATATAAGCCAAAAGCAAATTTTAAAGTAATGTGTGAAAATAACATAAAACAAAAACTTATTTCGATACAAAAATGAAACATAAAACCTACATCCAAAAACAAAACTACAACTACTTAATAAAACCACCAACTTTTCTAATGAGAAGGATGTGCTTGTTTTAATTTGCTTAATGCTGTGATGTTAGGTTCAATTTCAGACAACTGTAAACGAATATCAGGTTCTGTATTAAGACACGACCGGTATTTAGTTTTGGTCATAAGATAAGCAGAAAATCCAGCTTCACATAAATAAGTAGTAGCAAAAGGGAGCAGAATAGTTTTTGCTTTATCTGACAGAAGATGAAATTCATGTCTAAGTTTACACCAAAATTCTATTATTGATGACTTTGTTAGAAATATATCTCGTATTCCAGAATCAGATGTCAAGTCGATCAAACATTCATATTCTTCAGATGTTAAACTCGCTGGCTTTTCAGGTATTGCGTTATATGGGTTTGCAACCCAAGAATTGTAATTCATTTTGTCATGAAATTCTTCTGGAAAATATTCCTGGTAATTATTGCGTAAAGTTATAAGATGAATATAGAACTCGTTCATAAGATCATTTGGTAGATCAAAATCAAATTCTTCTTTAAGTTCTTTTAACGACGGAAAGCTGTCCAAATTTTGTTTATTCAGGGACTCTGCCCAAAAGACCAATTTTCTTTTAAACGCTTTTATTCTGTCGTTAACATCAAAAACAGAAATTGACTTTCCTTGAAGTGACGTGCTTAAATCATTAGCTTTAGAAAAAATATCAGCCAGATATGCCAACTTTGATATCCATTGCTCTTCGTTAAATCTCCCTTTTAATGCGAAGTCACTTTCCATCAAAAAACTCCTTACTTCGGCTCTTAATTCAAATAGCCGAGTTAAAGTTTTGCCCCGTGAGAGCCATCTTACCTCCGTATGAAGCAGTAAAGTCGTATGTAGACTACCCATATCATCACACAATATTTTAAACAACCTGGAATTCAGGGGGCGAGATTTGATATAATTAATTATTCTTACACATTCATCCAAAACTTCTTTTAAGGAAGGTGACATTTTTTTGACGGCTAATGCATGACGATGAAGAACACAGTGACTATTATTGCAGTTACTATTTTTTTCTTTAATTCTAGCTACAACACCACTTGTTTTTCCAGTCATAGCCTTTGCGCCATCGGTGCATACATCAATGCAATTCTTCCAAGGTATATCATGTGCAACAAAAAATTCGTCAAGCAATTTGAAAATCTCAGCCCCAGTAGTACTAGTTGGTAGTGGCTTGCAAAAAAGCAAATCTTCTTGAAAAGAGTTGCCAAATTGGAAGCGAACAAAAACTATCAATACAGCCAATCCAGCCACATCTGTCGATTCATCAAGCTGTAGCGAAAAAGAACTACCTTTTATTCGAGAAATTAAAGTGTTTTTTACGTCATCAGCCATTTCTACCATGCGCCTAGAAATAGTGTTATTTGATAGTGGAACTGTAGTAACTAGTTTCACATCCTTTTCATCCATCATAGTTTCAACTATATCTTTGACGCAAGGCTTGATTAAAGTTTCAGCAATAACATGAGGCTTGCCTGCTTCAGCGATTCGGTAACTAACTAAGTAGGATGCTTTTAACGACCTTTCGTTCAGTGTCTGTGCATGAAAAGTTATACTTTTTTGTGTATTTTTTAATTCACTGGATTTTCTTTGAAAAAAATCATTCGGTTTGTCTTTACATTTAGGATGAACTCCTTCCAAATGTCGTCGCATTTTCGCTGGAAACATAGCACTGTTGGGTAACACTTTACCGCATATTACACATTGTGGTTTATTGTCGTTGGTTTCAATGAATCCTATATCCAGATAAGAATCATGGTATTTTCGTTTTGCAGTTTTTCTCTCACAAATACTCATCTTTGATGGACCAGATGTTTGACGATCAATTACTTCAGCTGATGTTAGTACACTCGCAACAGACTCGGATTTTCTCAATATCTGCAATTCTGTGTCTTCAGTGTGAGCTATTTCCCTATTTTCTTTTTCCATATTGCTAAAAACAATACTCGATTCAGACAAATACTTTTAAAAATAAGATTTTAAAAATCCCAAAAAACTCACACACAAGCACAAAAAACTGCTTTTGTAGTAGGGGAAATATGCCTAAAACGAAATATGCGTTGCCACTTATACAGTAATTTTTATTTCACGTCAAACGTAAGTATCCCATTTTACCCGTATTTCCCCTATCTTAAAATGTACAAATCCGTACCTGTTGGAGTTAGATCCCTGCATGTCTGCATCTGTCGCTGAAATCGCTGTTTTCTTCAAAACACCTGTTTTAAGCCAAAGATCCATTATAAAACAAGTAAATTTAACCTGGAAATAAATATTTCACCATAAAAAAAGATACATGTATGTTAGTTAACCTACTTACGAATGATAACTTATCTCAACTTCAATTCAGTTAGTGAAATTCAAAGGCACAATCGCAAAAAATAAATAAAAACTGTGTTATCTCTTTACGATGCACCCGACACACATTTAGCGAACGTAAATCGTATGTTCCGGAAAGAACAAGTCATATCCTAGCATTAATACGAAAAAATAGGATTGTTTAACTTATCTCAACTTCAATTCAATTAGTGAAATTCAAAGGCACAATCGCAAAAAATAAATAAAAACTGTGTTATCTCTTTACGATGCACCCGACACACATTTAGCGAACGTAAATCGTATGTTCCGGAAAGAACAAGTCATATCCTAGCATTAATACGAAAAAATAGGATTGTTTCCGAACTGTTCCGGCGCACAGTACATTGAAGTGCGGCGCGGCGAATCTTTGCATTAGTAACGGGCTTGATGTAACATCAAGGAAAATATATCATTATAGGTATTACTTGAATACGATATTTCTCAGATGAAATCCGCGGAGCACTTGAAAATGTACCACGGAGCACCTTTTGCTCCGCGGAGCACAGTTTGGGAACCGCTGGCCTAGCGGAATCGCACCGCAACCCTCTGTTCACAAAAACACAAAAGGCCGCGGCTCGTACTGTGATCAAAATTAATTCGTGAACTTAGAATAACCAAAATTGGAGCATTTTGACAAAATCTTTAGAAAAAGTCGAATATTTTAGACCATATCAGAATCTGTGAAGTGATTTTTACAATACCTAAACGCTGCCTATACTAAGAGATTCTCTTCCTCCCCTTTGTTCTCATTCTTCCTTCTCTCCTTTCCTGACATTTTTTCCTTTAAATTGTCTGGTTTCTGGGTTAGCAGACCTGACAGACTTACAAGCTGACACTGTGACTCAAGAGCTAAGGTCCCACGGACGGATATTGTGAAACTTTTACATCAAATTCTATCATTCAGTCACATGATTATCAAAGTTTCAAAAATCTATTTAAAATTGAATGTTCTACTGAGTAGAACAAGGATTAGGTCACCGACCACCATACTATAAGGTATGTTATGTTTGCTGATGGATTGGTACATTGTCATTAAGATCGATTGAGATGAACCACATAGCGTCATGTACATCAAACAGTGTTATCTGCTTAAACTGCTATCCGGCAAATTAGTTTCAATTTGTGTAAGGGGCCTCATCTATTCGGCCTATCAGGCTCAACACTATCTTGGTCCGTATATCCGCTGATGCATCTGATTTAGTTACTAGGCTTCCATCAGACTTGGAGTTGTAAAATGAGAAAGTAGTACTAGAGAAGACATTTTAGAGCGAGCTATTTCGTATTCCTGCTACCCAGCAGTTCGATGTGACATTTTATGCTTTTTCCATTTCCAATATAAATATGGAAGGTTTATTTCAGAAATTTTGGTCTTGGTTAAGGTCATGATCAAGGCCATCTTTGGGTGATTCTCATAATTGTTGTCAAGATCATGGCCAAGGTAATGTCCAGACGTGAAGTTTGCCCCTCTTTTCAATTCCGACGTGAAAGAGAGGGGTTTCCATTTGTAAATGTTCGAAAGACCTTGAAATAACCCTGAAGATTGTGGTTAAGGTCATCATCATGTTGCCTCTTGGCACCTGCGTTTCAAACTTTTTCCTAGAATGCCCAGTTTTAGAAAGTCTAGAAAAAAGCTATTCTGACCAACATTCCCGACCACGTGCAGGTAAGAAACAAAAATAAATAATAGTTTAGGAAAACTAAAACTGATATATTAAGGCCCAATTTCACCAACAACAGTCCGTTATTCTCAACCTATAGGTTAACAGATCGTCAGATACAGCGAAGTAGCTTCAAGTTCCAATCAACAAATTTTAGCAACCAATAGCTATGAAATGTTGAAAACAAAATAC